GAACAGCTTGCCCAGGATCGAGGTAAGACTGACTGGCCTGTAGTTCCCCAGGTCCTCTTTCCTCCCCTTTTTGAAGATGGGAACCACGCTGGCCCTCTTCCAGTCCTCCGGCACCTCTCCAGAGCACCAAGAGTGTTCATAAAGCTGCGCCAGGGGACTTGCAATGACCCCAGCCAGTTCCTTTAGGACTCTAGGGTGAAGATCATCCAGGCCGGCTGACTTAAAAACATCCAGCCCCTCCAGAAGCTCCCTAACTAAATCCTCACTCACCCTAGGCCCAGGTGAGCCTCCCCCGGGGCCCGAAGGGGGCCCAGCAGGGAGGTGGCAGTTCTGGTCCTTACTGAGGAAGACAGGCAAATTTTCCCAACTATTCAGTTGGTCTAATAAAAAATACCACATTTAGTCAAATAACCTTGTCTACATTTTTTTTGTAGCTTTATTGATAAAATATTATTTTTTATTGTTTTTTGACACATTTCTTAATGGAAAATTTGTGCTTTTTCTCTGTATTATTTGGACCTATTGGCAATTTTTACGATTGTTATCCGATACTTGACCGGTCTAATAGCCAACCCTGCCGGGAACAAAGCTTCTCTAAAATTTCACATGAAAAGCTACTTTAATAGAACATGATTTAAGTTACAGGACCCAAGCATTGAGATATAAGGAAATACCAACACAATCTTAATTCGGCTGTATTGTTCCTATGCCTTATGGTACAGGCTTTAATTATACCATCACATCTTTTTCTCACAGGATCTATGGTTTACTCAGGGTATGGATGGATGGCGCTCACTTCTGGAGCAGCTATTCGGTATTTTATTTCATTGTTCAGTTTGTGGCCCTTGCACAGCACACTGTTCTCACCCTGCTCTGAAGACGAAATTTCTTTCCTTGTGAGGTTTCGTTTTGAGTTTATACTCGTGGCTGCGGTGTCCAACTGCCTCACAAACGGCAATTATTTTCATGGCAATCAGAGAATGGGGGAAGTAATACACAGAGACCTGGTAGAACCACTAATTTTAGATGCCCAATTTGAGACACTTAGGACTTGATTTTCTGAGCATCGGAACAGAAAGGGGGCCTGAAAATGGTCATTTTAAAATTATTATTAGCATTATCTCTGGTGAAGGGGAGTCCAATACTAAAAGTTTGCCTGGGGCTGCCAGGAGTCTAGGTACGGTGCTGGGCAGAGGCAGAGAGACAAGTCTCGTCTTTATGGTGTTACCATGAGACCAGCCTTGCTCTTCCTGCCAGCCTGTGCCTTGTGACAACGTCCATATTCTCCAACAAGAGAGTCCAGGCCTGTACAACCCTCATTCATCCCCAAAGCAAGTGCCTCCTGTGTGCTGAGTGAGCCAGGGGCCAGGGAAAACAGGACCATATGATTGTATGTGGATACTCAGTGCAGGTGAATTAAGAGAGTCTGTGCAACCCTGATTCAGCTGCTGCTGAGCTTTTCGCTGTGTGATGCTGCAGCCTGATCATGTGCGTCTGCCTGTCCGTTGGTGCAAATTGCCTAGGTTTAAAAACTGAACCGAGAACAGAAACGGCATCACATAGCATCACACTGACACCTGCATGGGCCATCGACGGGGCCAGACTCCACAGACCTGCCCGGAGCAGAGACGCGTGGCAGTAATTAGCTGCCATCCTCTCTGGAGACCAGCTATAGAGGGGGATTTTGATGTACACTTTGCCTGCGAGGGTCACAGATATTGCTGGGGGCAGAGGATGAGTGAGATTCATGAACCTGGAGCGTTTCAGTGAGCACAGGCTCTTCTGCCCAGGTCTCTCTCAAGGTTCATTCTGCCTCAGTCTCTCCACTCAGTCCATGGTTGGCTTTTTGTCGCCTATCTCATGCCCACCCAATGCCTACCCCATCCTTTCCTCCAGTTTTTGCCTCGCCAACAGTCGCTATCTCCATTGGCTCTGTGTCAACCTCTTTCCCCGAGTTCCTTGTCCAGTCAGCACCACCCACTAATTTGCGATCCTCACCAGTCTTTGCCCAGTCAGACCCAGTCTCTGCTCACCCCAACTCCCAGTCCAAGTTTCTCCCTTCTTCCCTTCCCATGCTTCTTGCCTTCACCTGATCCCCCTGCCCCAGGACAGCCAGCAGCAGCGGACAGCTGCCATTTCAGAGAGAGTCCTGCTCAAGCCAAGGCTGGAGCGGTTGCTGCGGACACAGTCCTCGGGGAGTTAAATTTCCAAGTCTAGGCAAACAGCGAACTACCAGGACTTCATAAACTTGGCCAGATGTGGTCAGATTTTTCATAACAAAAGCAAGAGGCACATCCCTGACACAAAAATGAACTGCTTGCTCCATCCCCCCTGCCATTCCCTGCCAAAAACATGCTAAGTTTCAAGTCACTGCTCAAGTCTGGGAGAGGGGGAGGCACGGGGGCTGTTCCAAGAAGCAACCACCAGAATTTTCTACATTTCCCCTATGCCTCATCCTTGTATTGGGTGGCAATGAAACACTTGCACAGACAAACCAGACCCAGAGCCTAAGGCAGATGTCCAGCCTGAAAAACATCAGCTCAGAGTTCAGCTAAAGCCATAAGCTGCTGGGAAAGGCTTTGGAATGAGATCTGATGAACAATCCTACCAATATGCAGCGCTCTTGTAGCTCTGTGGGGACACAAAAGAAATTAAACTAAAGGAAAATTCCAATTACCCAGCTAATCCTGGGCTTGATTTTTGGAGGTGCTGAGGAATACAGCGGCGGCTGCAGGCAATGGGAGCTGCTGGCACTCAGCACCGCTGAAAATTAGACCCTATAAGAGACAAGTCACGCAAAGAGCCAGCAACATGTCTGGCAGCAGCTTGAATGGTCACAGGGATGGATCAAGTGACAGGAAGATCATCTACTTCTTGTTATTACTCCATTAACTCCATATCTGCTTCACCCAATCACCCATCAGCCCAAAGAGGAGGAAGGGAAAAAAGGGAAAATGCCAGGAGGGTAATGAAGACCTGCCCTACTGCCAAATGGACAACGGTAATAGCCATGGGCACAGCTTGCTTCAGACAGAAATCTTGCTGTTTTGATGGCCGGGTCCCCATCATGCACACAGCCGCCTTGTCCCCCCAGGCACTCGCATCCCCACACCTCCCTCACCAGTCCCAAAGTGCCCTACACACATCATCTACACACACCCCTGCCACCCGCCCCAACCCTTCCCTGAGTATATTTGCCTTCTCCACCTTCCCCAACCACAGCCTTGTCCTTGGCCTCCCCAGCCCTCCCCTTCCTCACCTCTCTTGTGCTCAGTCCTCCTAAAGGCACAATGCAGACAACAGATCCCTCTGTGCTGAGGAGCTTACCCCCCTGAAATCTCACCTAAGGGGCCCCTTACCTCCAAGAGTGTTTCCTCTTCAGCATGGTCTTGAAGGGACCACTGTGCCCCAGAGGGGAAAGCCTGGAGCAGGCAGATGGTCAGTCCAGTCCAGGCTTGCTGCTATGTCCAGAGGGATTTAGAGGTCCATTTGCTCTCAAAGCCACTTCCAAGGATATGTCAGTCCCAATCCTGAGGCCAGGGGCTATCATCTGTGAACCCCAAACTGGGCTGCTTTTCTCTGCGAGGAGAACAAAAGCTACGCACTTTCACTTTTCTTTTCCACAGGATCCTGCAGAAACGAAAGGGAGGGGGGGAAAGGGTTTGGGGAAAGTGAAAGTGCTGGGTGGAGGAGGTGGAGCGAGGCCTAGGGTCTGATCCAAACCAGCATGCAGCCACTGGCATAAACCCAAGTCAGTGCCTTTGCTCCCACCCCAGCACAGGATCCTGGCCATTTTTGGTCCTAGCTGGCTCTTTTCCTCCATGCTGATCCCTTACAAATCTCCTTCTCTCTGGGTTTTTAAGCTCCCAATGAGTCACCCCCTTATTAACAGCTCCTCCACAACTGCAGCTACTCAACAGGGCTAGGTGTCCCCTCTTAAAGGGACAGGCCACCCTGTGACAGGTTGCATATGGCTTTTTGCTCCATGTTTTACATTCCACCGTTCCATTAGGACTCATCTTTGCTCCCACTGAGTTTATTGTCCTAGTCTCAGTCTCTCCTCTTTCAGATCTGGGGAACAACATCCAATCCTCCTTTTCCCAGTGCTTAAATTGGTCTGGAAAACACTGAGGTTTGGGGGAGGGGAGGGGAGGGGGCAGAAGGGGGAAGCAGGGGCTGTCTAACTTCTATCCTTTGCCTATGTCCTGCACCAGCCGTGATTAGCTGTTCTTTCCCAGGAGGTTGGCAAATGGGGAATGCAACCAATCAAATGAGGTTTCCTTCAGGTGATACATAAAAGCATGCCTCCTGATACCCCCTGGCTTGCCTTTCTTTCTGCAACCTGTTGCATGCCATGCGTGCACTTTAACCACCGCTTTCCCCTTTCCGTTTAGAAAATTCTCCAATGGAATATTTACAGTCATCTTCATTTGAAGTACACAATCATCTACACTCCCCCATAATGAAAAATCCCTGTGAAATCACCAGCATCAACATTTAACTAAAGGGTGGGAAGGATAAACTGACTGAATGCTCTAGATAGCTGCAAATTCCTGGAAATTAGGAACCAACAAATTCTCGATTGAAATGTGAGCTGTCAACACTCAATGGGAAAGTGGTCCCCTGGAGCCAGGAACACTGTTGGGCCCCAACAGGAGGGGAGGCTGTAGGGAAAGATGCATTCCTTCTTCCTCACACCCATTTAGCCATAAAGCCACAGCAACATATTTGCTCTTGAAAAATCTTATAACATGTCAAAAGCCAAGCATTATCATTATTGCTGTGCATGAAGATAACCCAGAAGGCCTTGAAAAGATTGCATTCCCTCCCTTCAGCAACTTGTTCACTTCAGCCACTCCCCAAGCCCCAGTACCATTGACACAAAACAGTATATTTGTGTATCCAACGCTCAAAACTGACTCAAAAACTAACTGCATGAGCGTGGGGGAAGTTCTTTCCTCAACCTACGCCCTCAGGTTCGGATTGGTGGCTTTGGGTAATTACAAGATTGACCACAAAGATATTTGCTTAGCTTCATGCCCATTCTTTCCTTTTCTTCCTCTTCTGTTTGCAAAACAAATGGTTTTGGGGTGATGTGGCTGAGGGGAGAGGCTCTTCAGCTGTAAAAGCTAACCTCTCCCCAGACATGGGAAAGGGTCACACATTCTCACAACAAGGACACTCAAGTCTTGGCCTGTTAGTGAGGGCTAGAGGTCTGACAACACGGATAACTTAAGCCTGGGATGCTATACAGGAAGCTGGGATGTGGGCAGTCTGACAGACACGGGCCAGGAAACAAGCCAAAGGCCAGAACCAGAAGGGAAGCCAGAGGTCATGCTGAGGTAGGAACCAGAGAAACAGGCTGGGAGAAAACAGACCAGAAGACCAGCCAAGTACTAGGAGAAACTGGGAACAGGGAAACCAGCCAAGCCTCAGGAGAAAGGATGGTTAAAACATGAGTCTTACCACCAAATAAGCATGTGTACATGAGACATGAGTAAACGTCTCAGCACCTACACGTGCACCCGTACTTAGGGGGCAAGAAACTAATCGACCCTGCAGCAGGGGAGGATTTATAAATACAAGTCCTACCCTGCTGTGGAGTTTTTTCATGCACAGCAGCTCACGTGTAGATGCTGACCTGGCTGGCTGGGGCAAAAGCATGCTTCACTGACGGGGGTTCCCTGCTGGCTAGCCCTATGCTGAAGCACCCTCATGCCCCAACCAGCCCCTCTGCAGCACATTGACTCGGCTGGAGCAGCCCCGGGCTGGCAGGCCAACCATGCGGGTTCCAAGTGCTGCACATGAATAAACTCCAGAGCTGATTGCTTTGGACTTAATTGCCCCACGGGTGCATGTTCAAACGGCGTTCCCAGGAACAAAAACTCCAGAGCAATAAGCCCCAGATTTTATTTATGTGTACTAATTGCACACGTAGTTTTGCCCAATGAGGCCTTCAAACACCTGCGAGTGCCCAGCAGTTCCCAGCTGCCCGTCTATGGCACTCGCAGTTCTAGAGGCTAGCTGAATACTAGCCCCTTGATAACTTCTGCCACCATTGCTAGCAACTGTGAGAAATAGTCCTGGTCAGAACTGTTTCAGCAAAATGGTTTTCAGCAGAAAATTGGATTAACAACTAGATTAATTTTTTCCATGGGCAACTTTACTTTCTTCAAGAGTTTTGGATCAAAAAAGCCAAACATGTCCTGCATTTGAATTTTTACCAAAATTATCAAACTTTTTATGGCATATTTTGAAGAAAATATATTTTCCCCCAACATTTTCCAAAGGAAGCCTCTGATTGTTGAGCCAAAGCTGGCAAAGAAAAGAAAAGAAAAAATAAAAATGCTCACGATCCTCATGCCACATATCACTGGCTGTTTTGAAAAAAACTAATTCCACTGCACAATTATGCTGTACTATCACATAGCCTAAACAATCTGTTAGTTAATCACAAATGGGATGGAAACATCTGAACAAGCTTCTAAGGCAAGCATCTGCTTTAAGGGAGCTAACGGAAGCAACACTTTGCAGGCCAGATCCAGCCTGTGGGCCATAGGTTGACAATCCCTGGTCTATAAGGGAAAAATCTGTCTCCGAAAAAAGCAATAGCCTGTATCTAGCTGAAATCTGCACACAATTAAGCAACTGTAAATAGCAACTGGATGTAATGCAGGTGTTTAAATAATATTGCCAAGCTCATGCTATCCCAAGGACTATTCCCAGCCAGGCTGTGTAAATGTGAGCTTTCCCCTGTGGCTTCTGGCTTTGCAGTAAAAGACACCTGACCTCAGTGCCAGAGACACCAGAAACTCAAAACATTATGCCTGGAAGGCTTGAGCCTGCCAGGGTGTTGAGCACCGATGGAAGCATCAGTGCTGCAGACAACTGGCCCGGAATGGAGAAACGATGAGTGTAGGCACAGCTTTAACCCTGGATGAAGAAGTGTTAAAACTGGGGTGGGTTTGCTGCAGCTAAAATGCTCTCAGCTCTTTCACATGTAATAGTTGGCATGTACCAGCTGCTGCTCTTTTGAAACATTTCCTCTTTTGAAAGGGCTTTCAGCGTTCCTACATCCACACCCATAGTCTCAAAACTAGAAGTAGATTGGGGGGTTACCGGGTTACCATTGTTGACCCTTTGACTCCTGGTCCACCCAAAGTTTAAACCAACTGCCTGGCAGTGGCAGCAGCATTTTTACTCAAGCAGCAGTGAGAGTCACTTGACTTCATGGCTCATTATAATTTACCTGATTTCTTCTGAACTCTTCACACCACAGATGTTAACGACCGCCCCCACCCCCTGCTCCTTTTTAACCGTCTTGATGTTGCACTAATCAAACCAGCCATTTTTCTGCAGTCCTGCTGTTTGTTGGCTACTCCTGGTAATGTACCTCCTATTAGATTCATTTAACTCTAGCAAGAATCACTAACTCAGGTGTGGAAAAAATTAATTCAGGTGGAAACATTAATTCAGGTGTGGAAATAACTTTCAGTGAAGCACTGGGTGAACTGTCCAGATGCTCAAGAAAGCTAGTTATTGTTTTATAAATTATTTTATAAACTGAAAAGCCATATATTTAATTCAAATGGCTACAGGACTAATGGAAAAACATCTTTTGATTTTTTCCCCCTAATTTAATGTGTTTTCATACATAATATGTGTTATGGCAAAGTAATGCATATTCCAATAAAGTTTTGCTTCAGCTGAGCATATTAGTAAAGCTTCTAGTTTCTTTTTAACTAAAGAAATGTGCAGTGTGTTACATATGATGAGGCATCATGCCATCTTGCACACCCCTTTTCAAAATCCTAGATCCTCCCATGCTCAGGGCCGCTTGACTGTATGTATGGAAAGTTAGTGTAACCTCCCATGCTGCTCACCAATGCGTCTTGTTCGTATGGATTTTTCCAACTTTGCAGCTGCTTGAGGAAAGGACAGCTTGTTGCTGGGTTAGATTCTGGAAGGTCTTCAGGGGTTCTTGCCTGCCACGTCTTGTTGGAATAAACGTGTTTAATTGGGAGGAAAATGGTATGTCCTACCACTTCTGGTACCTTCCTTCAATCTTCCCATCCGCCTTCCCGTTTGGGGCTCTGCCTACACTCCACCTAATACCAACCAAAGTTGTTATTTCTCAGTTTTCTAGGTCTTGTCTTATATCCTGACCTTTTGAATTATACTAGTTGGATTTGGACGTTGTCTCATCTGAGTTTTCTCAGGCCATATTGGGTCTGGTCTAGACTCCTTCCCAACCCTGGGTTACCTTGCTCTCCGGTGTCTCTCTTCCTCTTTATGGTCTTGTACTTGTCACAGTTCAGGCATCCATCTCTCCTTTTCTCCTCAGGATCCTGCTTGGTCCAATCCTGCAGGGGATGTCTGGGGTCCACAGTGCCATTTCAGGTAGGTCATTCAGCCCTCTGGGGTTCAGTTTATTTTCGGAGGCCCCTTCCAGGGGCAGCCACCACTTTCCTTCAGTGGGACTCTGCTCCATTCGGGGCCACTCTGGGTCTACTGGAGAACCCACTTCCAGTTCCCTTGTCTCCCGTCCACTGGGCTTTTTATCCTGGCTTCAAGGGGCCAGCCTGTGAATCAGCGCTGGCATGCCACCATAAAGCATGCCCATGCCAACAGTCCTGGCTCCTCTGGGATCTGTTCTTTTTTTTCTTTTTCCTCTGACGCCGTGTCTTT